TTAGTTTTCCTATCTTGCCGCCTACATCTCTACCAAATTCGAACGCTGCGGGATCAAATTTACTATTTTCTAGGAGGATCCGCCCCCCAGTGAGCGGAGTCTACACCTGTCGCCTACCATTAGTTCTCCCTTACTGCCGCCTACATCTCTACCAAATTTGAACGCTCCAGGTCCAAATTTAGTATATTCGAGGAAGCCCTACCCCCAGTAGGCGGGGTCTGCATCTGTCACCTACCATTGGTTTTCCATTTCTGCCGCCTACATTTCTGTCGAATTTGAATGCCTCAGGCAAATTTACTATATTCGAGGAAGCCCCGCCCCCCAGTGGGCGGAGTCTACACCTGCCACCTACCATTGGTTTTCCATTTCTGCCGCCTAAATCTCTACCAAATCTGAATACTGTAGAGGCCCAGGAGAACAGCAGTTACAGAATTCCGCTGAACTACAGCTTCCGCGGACGCCCCGCCCCTAGTGAGATGCTCCGCCCCTGGTGGGCGGAGCTAGCTTGAGTCACGTGTGCTCAAGGAGTTAGGCTCATTCCCCACTTGTTCCAACCTGTCTGAGCTGTTCCAGTTGATTTCCAAACGGCACCATATGAGATAGTGTTACAGACAAACAGACAAACATAGACAAACGGACGTTTGCGGCTTATAGTATATAGTAAGGATAACGCGTTAATGTCTGTGTGTTTGTGTGTGTAACGTCATCCAGCGCCGATACTGCCGACGCGGCCCTCCTAGTCACCCAATCTTCTGATAAGCGTTAGCTGTAGGCTTCATCAGAGTCAAATACATTGATGAACTTTTTCTCAACATTGGTATTACTTTGACTTAGGAGTGTATTGGCTAGAACCTTCCTTCTCCGGCAGTGGTGTAGTTTGGTCGGTATGGACATTTTTGGGTTGAGACCTGATGGAGTAGGGGGTAGGCGTACGACAAAGGTGGGAAGAATATTTCCAGCGTTTTGAGGAGAATTCGTCGCGAAAAATTTCCTTATTTGTGTTTCTAATCGTTTCCATGTAAAAAAAATGGTGTTTGAGATGGGTGAAGCCGTAGGAGTGGAGAGGTATTGGGGGTGAAATATAACATCATGCGAAAAGGTAGTATGGAGTAAGGGTTGGACATTCAACTGGCTTAATCTTCCCTGTGTTCCTTTCCTTCTCAGGCTTGGGTTAAAGATCGTTTTCTCTGCCAGGGAACGCCCCTAAGCACCATTATGGATTCGTGAAGTCGCCAACCCTCCTCTTCTGTGCTCTAGCTGTGCCCCCACCTCCAACTACATTTTCACCTTGATATCATAAAGAATTCTTTCTAATGGGTGATACATATCATTCATCTTGCTTAGTTCTAATGAGCTTGACCGAGAAGTCATTCGAGGTCTATTATTTTCTCTCCATGAAATTTCGCCTTATGATATATTCTGATCCTCCTTCTAATTCTTCGAAAACGACGTGCAAACTACTTAGGCTGAATTTCGCTTTTGAAGTTACGGGTCAAAAATCCTATTGAAATCTTTCTCATATTTATCTTCTTATTTGAACGTTCACATTACAAGTTCGCTTGCTAAAAATGTACCAAAAGTTAATTCTTGTGGTGAGCATATTGCTAATGGCTGCTTTCAGAATTCAACGATTCAACCGACGTCCGTACGTCCGTCTGTGGAGTGAGCGCGAGCTACGGCGGCGCTAGCCACTTGTTGACTACGCTCGCATGTGGACTGTTGGTGACCATTGTTGTCAACAAGTGACTAGCGACATGCATTGTTTCCACCGACGGACCCACCGACTGAAGGGGTTCCTGGCCAAGTGTTGACATCGCAGAGCAAATTGCGTTCAGGGAGCCATGAGGGCGCGTGATCCATCGGTGTTTCGTGTAGTCCAAATACCGTAACACTACGCTTGGTTTTATCCAGTTCCATAGACTTAGCAGAGTGATTCTCATGGGGTTTATATTAGTAGGTTCGCTCCTTCTAGCTTCCAGCTTTTCACTACTTTTTTCTGCATAGGTGGTCTGATTCGTTTTCTTTTCTTCTGTATTTCTTCTCCTAATTTTCCTACCTTAACTGTATAAAATGCGCTTAGTCTTATCCAACTTCGTAGACTGACAAGGGTGATCGCAGGGTATTTCATATAAATAGTTTCGCTCCCCATCAGGTTTTCACAACTTTTTTCAGTGTTGGCTGCCCACTTCATCTAACGGTGCATCTATAAGATGTGCCAATGTAGTTCCAATCTGGATCACTTCTTATTCCATCATGCATTCTCAGTTAAACTGTAATCGATTCTATGAATTAGCAAATGGAGTTTCGTTGCATTGTGAAGTATTGAGAAGGAACAGTAATCGGCCATTCGTTGTTAAAGTCTTAATCTTTTGCTTTTTCAGACGAGGCCGGCAGTATTCCACGCACTATGTTAACCATGACCGGATGGGAGGCATAATTAGCGCTTTCTAGACCTAACATACTAGCACCACCCAAATTATTACATTATATACATGAATTCTATTACAAAAGCATTGCTATCAACTTGGTTGATGGTTATGCGAGAAAAATTTTGCACAACATCCCTCAGCCCTGTATTGTAAAAAATTTGTATCAACATAGTGTTGCACATGCTATGTTCACACGATGCCTTTCCCTTTTTTCTTCTTTACCCTTCCTAATGTTTCAGAATGAAACAGAATTTTCAATTTAAGCATCTATATCAGTTTGGTTGTTTGCTTCAGCTCAACAATTAAGAAGTTGGCAGAGGTGGAAGTGGTCTTCATTGAAACTANATGTGCTAACCTGTAAATTGGAGAGAGAAGAGCTTAACATGAAAACGAACCAGACAACCAATATCGAAAAGAGAGTGAAAAGTTGAAAGATGAAAAAGGAGCGGATCTATTCATATAAACACCATGCAAATCTCTTTCGTCAGTCTACGAAACTGGATAAAACCAAGCGTGGTGCTACGGTAGTTGCAATTAATACGTAATTGCAGACCGCGAGGGGGTGTGGGTTACAGGACCGTTGTCAACCGCGTGTGTAGTGACTCAGCGTTTTTGTCGTTTTCTCTGCGTCTCCCCAAATAGGCATCTCGCTGCGAAGAGGATAGAGGGCAGACGAAAGAGCTCGCCATACCTCAATGCCTCCGATTACCAGTGATACAATAGGATACCTAGCGAAAAGATTGAATCAATGGTGCTGCAGACCTACAAACGATGTTGGTGATCTCAGCGCTGATTCCCATAAAAACGAAGTAGGAAATAGGTTGCAAACTTGGGTTTTCTACAAGCCACATGGATTTTTCGCGGTGTAGATGTTCTATGCAGATGTTTCATTAATATTTGGACAAGGATCAAGTTTTTGCTTCTCTCAGACTTCCTGGACTTCGAAATAAGAGGTTTCTTTAGTTGGAAGAAGTCTGTCTTTCTGAAGATTCTTCGACTCTTGGACCCATTCGAATGTCTACTCTTGACGAGAGAGCACTCTGAAGGAGAGTATGGACAACGAGCGGACACGCTCTCCTCTCGCTGGTGAACACGAGACGCAGAGATTGCTTCGCCGTCTGATTCTCTCAGCGAGAGAAATTCTGGTTGACAACAGCCCTGTAACCGGGGGTGTGGAAATAGATAGCACCAGTCAACACTTGGCTAAGAATTCCGTCGGTCGGTGGAAACCATGTACGTCGACGGAATTCGAATGCATCCTTTACCAATGACAATCAAGACGTTCAAACTAATAGTCGGTTCCGAACCTACACTCCTGCTCTCTGGACACTATTCTCAACCGTTACACTGCGATTGCGCTGTCTTCTCTGTACAGTAGCGCTCAAGTCTTCGGCCAAATGCTCCTTCTGTCGCACTTTCCATCCGTAACTACTTTCCTACTGGCTCTAATTATGCGAAATTCTAATATGTATAGCATGGGTGTATTGTGAATATTTATTACTATCAACCTGCAATCTGATCATGTTCCAGGTATTCTAAAGAGCTTGAACTCTAAATCAACTGGAATTGCGGACATGGTTTCTCTGGGTTTTCTTTCCTTTTTACCATGTCCAAAGTATACGAGCGCTAATGCAGCACAGTAGAGGAGAAAAACGCACATGAGGAGCGAATAACTGCAGACGTTACTAATGCTATCGCAACAAACACATTGCTCTTAGTTATGTTGATACTGCCGCTTTACAGTCAAGTGGAGTTGGATAAAGGGAAATATGCTTCAGTTATAAATTTCGATTTGCTCCACTTTAAATAGTCACGGCCCGAAAAAGCGTTTGAACGAGGACTTTGGGCGCTCCTCTAGGTCAATAGCACTTGTATTTGCCTCTTGCTTTGCCTTGCCAACTTTTATTGTCAGCACACTATGTCACTGATTGATCTTCTCGACGAGAACTAACAAGGGGAGAATGGTTTTCGTGTGGCTCTCATGTTTGGCTTCCGTCTATGGCACGTGCGATAGGCTGCTTCCAGACTTCAACGACTCATCCGTCCGCTCGTCCGTCCGTTCAACGCGTGCGCGACGGTGATCGCTGCGTGTCGCGCCGGCGGTTCTAGAGAGGTGTTGACAGCGTCTGATCGGTATTCAGCGCTGTCAACATCTTTCCTAGAACCGCCGGCGCGAAACGAGTTGAACGGACGCGCGAACGAACGGTCGTCGAACTCTGAAAGCAGCCAAACGAAAGTTGAACTACGTTCTTGATTTATTCCCCCCCCCCCCCCCCCCCCCCCCCCCCCCCCCCCCTTCCTCCCCCTCCTCCCACCGCCCGTCCGCCCGCCCTAAGAGCGAACCGCTGAAAAGGGGCAGATGCGCCTCAGAAATAGTTGCTTTAATTCTTAGTCTAACATATGCCCCACTCTTTTCTTGTGCTTCTTGTGTGAGACTGGCTCTTGTGGAGCATTTGTCACTAATTGTTAGTCACCGAATGTTTTCCAGGTCGAATTTTAACGTAATAATTTTTCAGCTAAAGGTTTTGATGCTTCAGGTGAATTGTATGTCATCTAAGGGGAAATTTTAATATGACTAAGCTCTACATTTGTCCTGATACGGGCTCGGATGAAAATGACGGAAGTGAAGAAAGACCCCTAGGCACTCTTTTGCAGGTAAGGCTCCTCTTTCCAACTTTGTTTCTCGCTTGTGGTACAAGGTTTACGAAGAATTCTGCTCCTTTGATCATAGGCAATGATGTTGTCAAAGAACTCAGGCGAGTTCTTAGTCCGAACCATCAATGTTGACGGTACAAAATCATGGGAGCCGGCAGCCAAAGCCGCTATCAAGAAAAATTTGAAAAAGTTGGCGGCCTCTCTTGTAACTTTGATTTAATACTTTTGCATTTGACATACATATTTTGGTTAAGATACGAAGCCGAGCTGAAGAGGGCTGGGAAGGCAGCTGAACGGGTCAAGGAACAGGAAGCAGCTTCTCGTGCAGCTTTAGAGGAAGCTAGAAAGGTTTAATTTTTTTTGTTTGGATCGTAGTGCAAAGGTTATGTTTATGTTGTAAAACCGACAGTTTATGTTTCGATATTTAGCATAAAAATTAGGATTATTCCGTTCTAGCTACTCCTGAGCATTTTGAGCAGTAGGTAGCTATTTTGGGTGTCTCTCTGTTTTGTAGCAATTGCTGATCGTAAAGCGGTACTCGAACTTTATACATCAGAGATGTTGCGATTGATAGATCACCTTCTCAATGGATAAGTCGCTGCCTGTGGCTACACTTGTGAGGATCTCAGAGTGTATTAAACATCGCGACCTACGTGTGCATTTGAAGGCATGGGTGCATCGCTTACGAAGGCAAGGTAGGCTTTTTTCATAGAAAAGATATATTAACAGCATACATATCATGTTTCGTCGCTAGTATTAGTATTCTGGCAGGAGATCGTAAGCGGAGTGGGAGAAATAAGAAGTATCAGGATTAGGAACGTATCTAGTGGTTTCATCGTTGCAATCAATTTTTGTTGAAATCAGGCCTTGCACTCTTTCGAATCTATTGTATGCTTATCATTAGTATTTTATTGGTTTAAATCGACCATTGCTCCGCAGTGTGCCTCAACCTTCATATATATATTGTACTTCGCGTCAAAAATGATTCCATCTATTTGCCAAGATTCCCAAGAGACGCACACCTTTAGCCTTTTGAAACCGATGTGAACTTCTTCGGTTCCTCCTCACTTTGCAGTTTATCACTGTTGTTCAGAATGTATGCTTAAGGGAAGTCGCTAATGTTTTGGGTTCTTCGTGACGGTTCTGGTTACCTACAGTGCGTTCTTAACGACGTTTTGGTGAGTTTTTTTGTTTCGAAACCTGAAGTTTAAACTTTGCTTCAGCTAGAACGTTCGAGTTATATTGTTGTTTTTAGTGTCAAACTTATGATGCCGTTACGCTGAGTACAGAGAGTTCAGTCGAAGTTTACGGTACTGTCAGAAAGGTGAGAACTGTATTCTTCCCATTCACTTCTTGTGAATTTNGATTTACTCACACAAATACAGATGGATCTGCAGATAGTTTTCAATAGTACTCATCTGTTATCAAGGTGCCTGAAGGAAAGCAAGCGCCTGATGGTCATGAGTTAATCGTGGATTATTGGAGCTTGATTGGGTCAGCTCCACCTGGTGGCATCGACAACGTCCTAAATGAAGAGGCAGGAGTTGAAGTGATGTTGGATAACAGGTTGTTGAGTCGTTCAGTCGGCAGTAGTAGCCATTGCCTATTTTTGGATGAAAAACGACTTACAGCGGTCATCTTCGTTTTTATTTCACGTTCTTTCTATATCTATTTCTAAAGGCATCTTGTTATACGTGGAGAGAATACATCTCGTATTTTGCGTATAAGAGCCGCAACCACTCGAGCAATGCGCGAACATTTCTATCATGCCGGCTACACTGAGGTCTGTCCACCAACGCTTGTGCAAACTCAGGTAAGATACAGTTCTGGGGCTGGATTTACGTAAAGGAGTTTCTTTTTTTTTNTTTTTTTTTCACGAGACAATCTTGTTCCCAAAGCCCTCTTAGGTGATCTTGTTAAGGTTTTTGAGAAATTTTAAAGATGATCTATGTATGAGTTTATACAGTCTGAGTATACCGGGTGGCCGAAAAGTATAGGACGCCACATACGTGAGCGTAGCTTTGAACATTCAGGACTAGTAGACAAATCTCCATATTGAGGATTAGAGTAGAACTGCATGATCACTTATGGTTAGGACAGGAGACGTTTGGAGTCCGGTTCTTTTGCCTTTCTGCAGGCGTCTAGACGTTCAATAAGTGAACCAATAGTCTACGTCTTACGCCTTCTGCAACACCAAATCATCCAACGAGCAGTAAGAACGTCCTGTGATCTTGCTCTTCAAAACCCTCACATCGTGAAACCTATTAGGTGTTGAGTTTTGGCGAAGAAGGAATTCGGGTGTGCTTCCCACAGTACCAAAAGTGTGCAGCAGGGCTTTAGACGATTTTGAGGCATGCAAAGAGGCTCAATCTTGTTGATGGACGAACGATCGGTCACCGGATTGCTCACTGACCCAGATCAACAGGATGTTCATTTAAAGTACTTTTTGGTCAAACTTGGAATCGATTTTCCAATTTCTGTCGATGAAGACTAATATTGCTTGTTATTCCGATGTCACCCCAGCTCAAATTATCACACTTTCGGGAAATGGTCAGCTATGCACGAGACGAAGTTCTGAGAAACTTCGTCAACTTTTAGCAATAACTGTCCCTGGTTTTGACGGTTTAAAAGGGTTCTACTTTGAAAATTTTCTCATCACTCCAGATCACGTCAGAGATGCGGGGCGCCCTGAGCTCTCGGAGAAGTTTTTGCATTTTATCAGCTGACTTTGTTTGAACTACTCCGTTATAGTTCTCCTCGACAGAGCCGATTACCGTTCAGCTCTGGGTCCCATTTCACAATTTTCTGGATTGTTGACGGCTGATGTTGAGGTCAGAAACAAACCGGCCAACGCTGACTCCATCGTTGCGGGTGATTCTCTTCCTGATGACGGCACGAATCCTCAGTGTGTTCACTATGCTCGGTCGCCCACTTTTTGGCATCTAGCTTGTCCTCGAGCGCTGAGAGTATTTGGAGCAATTAAAGAAGGAACGTCGACTTGTTTCGCGATGTCACAACTCTTGAAACGTTCTCTGAGCATCTTTTCAATGATGAGTCTATGCACAGAAACTTCCGTAGTGATGGTTCAGACGGACGGTCAATCGATTAACGTGTACGAAGCATTGCACAGCTCCCATGCTTTCAAATAGTTTCGAAAGACTCTAAGACGACCCATCGGCAAAGTGCCGGCAAGCGCCAAATGGAGCGTCCTATACTTTCCAGCCACCCTGTATATATTATATGTGGCTCCAGTCGACCATTTCCGGCCGGCTTACCATTTCCTGTAAAATAGGATATTCTTATCATTGGTAATGGAAAATGATTGCGCCAATCTCGCCCATGTTCTCCACGTACACTTATCAAAATATTTCTCTTGTACAGGTCGAAGGTGGGGCAACTCTGTTTGCCCTCAACTTTTTTGGCGAGCAGTCTTACCTCACCCAGTCCTCCCAGCTATACCTTGAAACATGCATTGCGTCGCTTGGAGATGTTTACTGTATTGCGCAGTCATATCGGTATGCTTTCATTTGAACCTTCGCATTGATAGCAATACTGCTAACGATTAACATTGCAGCGCTGAGAAATCACGTACACGTCGCCATTTGGCCGAATATGCGCATGTTGAAGCAGAATGTGCATTTATCACCTTCGATGAGCTTATGGCTCGTATTGAGGATATTGTCTGCGATACGGTCGATCGGCTGCTGACTGATCCGACTATCAGAATTCTTATCGATCATGTGAACCCGGTCAGTATATTTTCGTCACCTTAGCGTCTATTTCCTGTTTTCCAAGAAGTTTCGTGTTTCGCTTGAACACCTTTGTGACTTTCGATTTAAGAGGGTTTAGGATTTCAAACCTCCGAAACGGCCGTTTCGACGCATGACTTACTCCGAGGCTATCAACTGGCTGGTGGAACATGAAGTACGTAATGAGCATGGTGAGAAGTTCGTTCATGGGGATGATATCGCCGAGGCAGCTGAGAGGAAAATGACAGACACAATAGGAGAGGTGAGGTTTGCTTCATAGAGTTAACCATTAAGATAATTAATCGAGAAATTGAAGCGGTCGATCTCGTTTCACTTTGATACTTTGAGTGATTTTCTATAGAAACAAATGTCATGGAAACAATTCGTGTATCTGAAATTTCAGCCAATTCTGCTCAACAGGTTCCCTGCAGGTATCAAATCGTTTTACATGGCACGATGTAAAGAGGACAACGGACTTACAGAATCGGTAGATCTTTTGATGCCAGGTTAGCGTTGACTGCGCCTAGATCATTTCTGTTTGTTTATTTCGGCCCTCACTACTCTGAGAGTGCTCTCAGACCCCCTCCTTTTTGAGAGACCTAAATCTAGGCAGAAGTGATGGGGGAACGTCCGTTCTTGTCGTCAATGAAGCTATGTCCCACCACCCATGTCGCAGCCGGCGCCCATGGACACGTTTGGACCGCGTAAAGGTTCTGCAGTTTGAATACTTTTCCTGCACGGGTATTTGTAGGCAACTTACAATTGGAAGGCGTCGTTGAGAGGTGAATGAGATCTATTTGTAAAATAAGCAAAGTAAAGTAGAATAAGGTGATTTGAGTTCGTTTTAAGTAAAAATAGAGGAATCAAAAAATGAGTAAGTACGACGGCGAGTTAAAGAAGATTCCCTCCTAGAAACAACATGCGGTGCAGATGCTTTCAGAGTTCAGTGACGTGCCGACCGACCGACCGACCCGACCGACCGGCGGCGTTGGAGGCCACGTGTTTACGACACAGGAAATGTTGTGTTCAGGGCCGCGGGAGTGAGAGCGGTATCGAACGCAATCTGTTTTGCGTTGTCAACACGTGGCCAGCAACGGCGTCGTTCAGTCGATCGGCGCAACGTTGAACTCTGAAATCACCCAACCACTGCAGTACCCATGTTGTATTTGATTGTCCGTGCAAGGGAAAGTAATTCAAACCGTTGAACCCTTACACGGCTCAAAAGTGCCCATCTCAAGATCGCAGCGGGACGTGCCGCGCGCAACGTGCGGCGTGACCTAGTTTCATCGACGAGAGGAACGAAGCGCACCCGCAGTCATGGAGAAAAGATAGCACACTGCTAGTGGCAAGGAGGGTATGGCTTTATAACAGGAAATGGCTCATAATAAAACATATGGGACAGTTTTTAGTCAAAGTAGTCTTTGCCGAAAGCCGTATCCAATCCAGTGGGAGAGTAGTGCTGCTTTTCGGATCTCCCAAATTTGGTACATTTTATTTAGTTTGTAGGCTACTGCTTGGAAATTTTTAAGAAGTTAGCTGTACTTCTCGTCCTAGCGATAATTAAGTACTCTTTTTCATGTTTTCCTGAATTTTCATTGCTTCGTTATGAACAATATGTATTGCTTTGAGCGTTTGGGTATTCATATATGGCTGGCATTGGTGGGTGGAGCTGATGCTATTATTTACCAGATTCTTATCGCCTTTCGCTGGAAAAACGTCAAGCAGTAAATTTACTAATGCCTAGGGTCATACAATTCTAGGTGTTGGAGAAATAGTTGGAGGTTCTATGCGTATATGGAACCTGGAGGAGCTACATAAAGCCTTTGATGGAGCAGGAATCGATGCGAAGAACTATTTCTGGTAGAGTTTTTCGAGTGTTGCCTGTCGTTTATACCATGTAAAAACGAAGTTCACGTAAATATATTGAAGGTACACTGATCAAAGGAAATACGGATCTGCACCTCATGGAGGTTACGGTCTAGGATTGGAACGGTTCATATGTTGGCTGACCAATTCGTATCATATTAGAGATGTTTGCTTGTATCCTCGGTTTATTGGGCGATGTGCGCCTTAACCAGCCTGAATTTTGTTATTTTTTCGTCTCTTTTTTCTTGGTTTTATAAGCTATTCTTGATTGTTGTTAATATAACTATGTAGGCTTAAATTAAAGCTGCGTTTCACTTTTCAGCAATTCTTGACTTTCTCTTGATCAGTTACTAGTTTTGCGTGTCCCACATCGCGAATCATCATTCCATTTATTAATGTAATCACTGAAGGAAAGTTCTGCTGAGTGGAAACAGCTTGAAACTTCTGTCAAGCCTTGGCACAACTGAATAATTCAATTTCGAGGTGTGGGGTTGGATTGGTCTGGGTCAGCCACCTTACCGCATTGCAGTCTATCACTTGCCCACCACGTCTATTATGTTCAAAATGATGAGAAATGTGGTCGATCAAATGTGCATGTGCGACCATCGGTTGCTTTTAGGCTTCTTCGACTCAACGGACGTCCGTTCGTTCGTCCGTCCGGCTCGTTGTGTGTGTGTGTGCGACGGCGGCCCTAGCCACTTGTTGACAACACTGTATCACATGCCAGTGTTCTCGACAACGCTAGGGCCGCCGTCGCACGCACGCAGCGCGTCGGCAGTGTGGACGGACGGAAAGACGGATGTCCGTGTAATCGTTGAGGACTGAAAGCAGCCATTGGAATTATCACCTACAGAAAGAGAACAGAAGCATTTCCTAGAGCACAATCCGAACGAATTGCTGTGATGTGTGAGAACATCGAGTTGGAATTGACAAATGAAAACAGTTTGACAGTACTGAGAAAGGGTTCTTCCTTACCTTTGCTAAGGGCCTATTTGATCAGAGGTCCCATCGGAGGGCGACTTCGACCGATCCAATTGCACCACACCCTTTTCTTTTTTTTACCATTATTTCCTTGTTATGGATCATTGGTCATTGGTTGATTAAATTTGCGACCTTTTGTGGAACATTTGTCTTGAACTTTACAATAGATATTTGCTTAAAAATGGGCAGATTGGGCACACAGCAGTTACCAAATGGTTCTCGACGTACATCAATGAAGAAGGCACTTAAGTTCCACAGCTTAGCGTAATTCTGTACATCCCAGTTTCCGCAATGCTAGTGTGGACTTGTTTTCTTTTAATAGGAGTTGGCTCTCCTGAATTTGGTTCATAGTCATTTGTATAGTGACACGCTGTTTCTACTAAAGAATGAAACTTACTGAAACGTTTAGGAATATTTCATTTTTGATTTCTGGCGCCCAAAAGCGCTTGTTATTCTGGTTAATGTACATATCATTCTTTTTTTTTAATAATATAGCAACTTTCTGCTGATGGAAATTGATCACTGCACTAGTGTCGCAGGAGCATGTCCAGTGCCGTAGCTATAAGCGTTATGGCATCCTAATCATGCATCTGAGGCCTTGACCAGGGTGACTTCCGGAAATTACGACGAAGGTTACATCTCTTGAATTGCGGTTCGTTCAATTTTAGCAGTAAAGTGGGACTGTCTTCCTGCTATCACCTTGAAAAAAGATTTAGGCATTGCTTTGACTGTTGAAGTCGCCATATAAAGTTGGAAAATAAGGCCTGCAACACTTTGAACGTGTTTCATTAGGAAGAACCTTTTGGTAACATCTGCGCTGCATATAGAAAAGATGTTATTCTTCATTCATTGTGTCCCAGTGGTACATCGATTTCCTCCTGAAAAAGTTCGATGTGAAGACAGGCAGCGTACTGTGGGGAATTAATTTAATGGGAGCTGCTCAACACTGCCGCTGTGGTGACGGCCACAATCCATGCCCTCCCATCCCGCGCGTATCGAACAAAACACGTCGAAAAATTGTTGAATTCGAATGAGAAGTATTGCTATATATGCCTTACTAACCAGGTAACGCCTTCTGATTATCACCTATTCAGAACACTTAAGCATCACCTGAAGGGCAAAAAAGTAGATGTTCGTCGTTAACTCGAAAATAAAGTCAAAATTTTTGCCTCAGAAGTTGTTAATCAGGAAGAGATGGATCGAGAATCTGTTCGGAAGCTGGACGCGTGCCCAGATAACAATGGTAAATCTCTTGTTCACTGAAATTCTTGTTTAATAAAAAAGTTCGAAAACTTCGCCAGAATGTTGCAAGGCTTTTCTTTCTTTTTCATGAACTGGTCATCATTCCTTATCCCTTTTTCAAGCTTGTCGCGGTGATGACATTACTAATTTGTGTGAGCTAGTAGAACCATATTATAATGGTGCCACTGACAGACAGTGAGTAGAACACTGACTAGCCCGCAGGTCGCTGTCAGTTGCGCGCATGCACTTAAGTTTGTTTGCACGATCTCGAGCTACATTTGCATGTGAGACGCTCCATAGAAGGATTTCGATTTCCCTTTTATTGTTATTATCACCCCGAAAATCTTCGTAAAAAAGGCCCAGTAACTTGTATTCTCTGTAGCGCCGCACTTTTATCTGTAGTGGTCTTGATAAAAGTTAATCTTGAAAATAGTCAAGTGTTGATGAGTAATGTTGGGCATACATGTTGACGTTTGAAATGATCCCAGTCATTCGCCTTACTTCCATAATTTTCGTGGTTTTGGCTTAAAGTCGTAGCCAGTCGATATACTGGTAGGCCTTTATCCCCCCAACTATTTCTTGCCAGTACTCGACTTTGAAGGTGTCTGTTTAGTGGGCAGGCGTGAGCAAGATTTTCTGGTGGCAATGCATGTCGGTGCGGCATCTATTGGCTTTACCCTGCTCGTCCTCATTGAATTTATTTTAACCACTGTTTGTCCCATTTACCTGACTGTAATTGTGTTTTGCAGCACAATCTGCCCGTGTGGGGAACCAAGTGGTCATAACTGTGCGTCCATCTTCCCACGATATATGTATTTGTATCTACATATAATGCACTTTTATCGCTTTGGCGTTCCTGATTAAATGCTGTTGTTGTTGAGCGAGGTACGTGTGAATTCACTTCTTTTAAGCTACAATAATATTCGTATAATTGGTGTTATTTTTTATGTATGTAATGTATTATTGTTTTAATTGATGGTATGAGTTATTGTAATGATTTTTCGAGCGCTTTATGCACAAAACAAATCCAACGTTGAGTGTAACATAAAGTTTACCGATAGTGCGAATTCAGACGGTGGAGAGCACTCTTTTGAATCATTGAAGCCTCGAGCGCAGAAAGGAAGGGTAGCCAACCTTACTTGTGCTTAGAGATGGTTTTGAGCCAGACGAATGTTGTTCTTACATATCTTCCAGAGGGGGAAGAGCTCGGGAGTGGGTGTGTTGATTATCTCATGCAAATAGCTGAGATGGGATCAGAATTGGACACCCAATTGGCTCACCCACCCCGGAGCTCTTAACACAGAAAAGTATGAAACGTTCCTAAGCACCAATATGGGCTCGCGAAGCCGGCTACTTAGTTTTCCCTACGCTCTAGTCGTCAGTGATTCAAAAAGGCACCNCCCCCCCCCCCCCCCCCCCCCCCCCCCCCCCCCCCCCCCTTCTCCGCAACTACATTTTCATTGTCAGCCAGTTACTGTTACTCAATAGCTTCTGAAGAGTACTAGCTGCATAAGATGTACACATAACAAATCACGCTATCATGCTTATTATTTTTCGATCGCGTGTTTGGGTTGCCGCTACCAATGCTCCGATAAACCAGTGCTGGCCCAACAGCTGTATAATCATGTAGAAAATAAAATTTTGGCACAAAATTACTCGATTAAAGGAAATCAATCATTCACAGTTCTGTACTTGGCAAGTAGAATTTTGGTCGTCGGATTTCTCCAGCCGGTGTTCCGCATGGCGTCCGTGGCAGTCGTCGTCTTGGGGTCCATTCCTGCTGCTTAAGCTTGAAGGAAAACTTTTCCTCGTCTTGTTGTCTAAGCACTCGGTTCTCATAGGCGTTCTCTGAGAGTCTCGTCGCGTAGATTGGTGGTGGCGGAGGGCTTGTCGTCGAGCTCTCTTCTAGGCCTGTGATGGGTGGAATCACTAGCGGATCGGGAATGATCGCCACTGTCGATTGTCGTCGCACTAATGTGTCCTTACTCAGCATGACCCCATTTTGTAGAAACCGTTTGCTCTCCTGTTCTTCTCTAGGTGAATTAGCAACGACTTCTACTCCAGGAGGCACAGCCGGGATATCTCTACGTCTAGTTTGCTTTTTTAACGGTTCCCTCTCTGTAGACATCTCTCTACTGGCTCTTTTCTGCTTGTACAACGCTCGTTTCATCGCTCCATTATGTTTGATGGCTGTTTCGTCCTTTTCACGCTTCGCTAATGACCGAATCACCAGGCGTTCTTGCGGATATCGTGCTCGGACGGTTTTGGACATTGGCGGTATTTCCAAAAGTCCAAGCGGTGCATGCGGTGGAGACTCTCCGTTGGCGTTCTTCAGAGTCCCATTGACCAGTTTTCCGTTCATCTTCTTTTCAAATTCCTTGAATACCTGCGAAACACTGGCGTCATCCCATGTTAGGGAGTGCCTAACCGTCGTCAACGCTGTTTCGCTCGGAATCGCAGCTTGTCGTGCTAGTCGATCGGCGTCAAGCGGCTGCAGGAAACCTGATTCTTGTTTGGGTATTCTCGGCTTATCTCGTCTAGAACGGTTGTTGGCGTTGCGTACCATTTCGCCAAAACGAACCTTTACGGCTGATCCCCAGAGGCTCGCCACGTGCCAGTACCAGTGCCAATAGACGTAAAGCTGAAAAAACAACCATATTGGATATCTTGAGACAAGGCATAAACGACGACAGGTCTTTTTTTTATCTTACCAAGGATGGATCCCAACTCGAAGTGGCCATTTGAAATAAGACCTATACTGCTAGAGGTGTTTTTGAGCGCTGAATTCAAATCCGCTTTCCAAATCTGCCAAGCGATTCTCTGAAGAGAGTTATGAGGGTGGTTTTTGGGTGGTATTACACGAGAAAGCTCAAATCACATGCAAGCAGCTTGCTCCTCAACGGCGGCTTGGTGTGGTGGTAAGGGTGACGCTTCATGGGCGGAGGCTAGGGTTCGGGTTTTGTGGGGGACCGAGTTTTTGCATTATGTAGAATTTTCCTTCCAGGACTAGGATATACTCTCATGGTGATTTTATCACGCTTTATGACCT